GATATGCCCTAACAATGTTAAAAATATCACCCCTTTCTGTCTCAGTGGGAAATGCACTGGTAAAGAATTTTTTGAACAATGATTCCCCAAATCTACACCCAGCATGGCCACTTTTCCAAACTCTGTGTAAAATCACTTTAATAACACAAGCCTCTCCACCGATGTCTGCTTATCTTCAAACTGGTATCCTTAGGAACAATTCGGTTTTGTAACATGAGAAAGATCTGGCTTTGCTTCTCACTAAACAAAACAGTGCAACAGTATTTTAAAATGCCTTCTGTCTTTGTTGTCAACCATTGTGTAAGCTGCCCTGGGAAAAGGTTTTAATTCAAAAGCAGGGAATATAGTTAAATATGTAAAATAATAATCTTGAGTTACCAGCCCATTCTTTTCTTTGTGGCCTTCCCATTGGGATGTACATTCTTCTATCATGCTGGTCATCTTGCAATGGATCCAGCTGTCTAGCAGCAGTGTTGTAAGCAAAAGGTCAGATAAGGACAAGTCATTTATTTGAAGTCTAATGCTGTAAGAATTTTATTTTGAGCAACTTTCCTGTTTTCAATGGGAAAGGGCTCTTTGGAGCTGCCCATTATGTGTGCAGAACTATGCATCTCATCAGTATTTGTAGATGAAAACAGAAAAGGGGAAATAACCAGAACTTTTTTATTGTGTGTGTGTGTTTTTTCCTAAATGTTACAAAAACAAGAATAAATGAGGCTACAAAGTGACTTGGAGGGAGGGAGGCTTGAAGGAAAACTGAATGCTCAAAGTGAATTTTTTACAACAGAATAAAATAAAAGGAGAAAACAACAGCAGATTAAACTGTTGACATTAAACATTCATAACACACCCATAGGCAACAGTGTGAACAAACATAAAAGTTTTCAGTACCTAATGTTGCTACTGAGTCCATCTGCTTTGGTGCCCCCATAGTGCCTGCTTCTCAACTGAATGCACAGCCACCAAGATGAGACCTTTAGCAGAAGAGTCTAATAAATGAACAGTTTCCCATGGGATGTGGCACAGCGGTTCCATATTTTTTTAGGTTTTTCAGGTCATCATCTATGTAATTACTAGGGCTGATGAGAAGTGTAGGCGAAAAATATCTAGAGAGCTACAGCTGTCTACCCCTGGGGCAGGGGAATTATATCTTTGAATGCTTCTATAGGTCAAGCATTCTCTTCAGGATTCTGCTCCCATCCTAGTAATCTCTTCATTGAGGGGATGGAGAGTGATGTAGCTACCTGGGACGGGTGATAAAATGAGAGAATTTCCCAACAAATAAGAACTCTGCCTGCTAAATGACATTTTCCTTTAGGCCCCAAATCTCTAGCACTGCAGGGAGTGAGACAATGAAATTCATTCACACCTAAAACTTTGAAACTTGCTGTGTTCACAGTCCCTTGGGAACATTGCTTGCCCTTGTTCTTTGGATGCTTAAACGCTTTTTTGAAATGCTCAGCTGAAGTTTTAAGTTACTGCAGTGCTAGAAATTTGAGAAATGAAGGGAAACTGAAGGGGCCAGAATACTGACTGGGGAGCAATTATTTTGTCCCTCCCCACCCTAATACACCCCTGGGTAATTTTTTCCCTCCACATTTGACATGGTGCACTCATGGGATGGCCAGAATAACCATACTGATTGAGAGATCCTAGGATCTGTAGCTCAGAAAGTAATATGTCCTAGATCTGGGGATGACTGTTTATTAGGTACTTTTGCTGAGCATGTGAATCTAGTCTCATGTGGTAAAGAAGCAGTCAATTGTTGGACTGAATGTTTTAAAGATTTTCAAAGGTAGTCACAAATCTATTATTCTTTCAGCTGTCTCAGGGATGAGCCCAGGCATTGAAAACCTGCTCTAGATCAAATTAACTGTTGTCACTTGGAGAGTCTTTAAAGTTTCAGGGCACTTCCCTCACATTGGTCTTAAATCACTGATGAGCTTCTTTCATGGTACAGATGTGTCATTGTGTTTTTACTGTAAAGTTTTTAAAAATGTTTTTCTCTTGTGAGCCACCTTGGGTCTCTTTTTGGGAGAAAGGGGGCATAAAAATGAAATAAATAATGAATAAATAAATTCATGCAGAATGGGAAACAGATGGGTGTGTGCATGCACATGTGCACATGCCCGCATAAACATGCATACATAAATTCCATCTCTTTGTAAAATAAAGAGAAGGGGAAAGGGACAGGTAGATTTATACTTCAGAGCAACATTCTCGTCAACAAATGTTTTCAGTCTTGCAATACTTGCTGGGGCTAGGAGTACATCTGCACAATTAAAATGTGTGTGCCAGCCATGCCCGTTTCTTGGGATGTCTGACTTGTCTATGGTAACATGCCTTGGGGACATTCCAGTTGCATTACTGTAACACAGGGGTAGGCAACCTAAGGCCCGGGGGCCGGATGTGGCCCCCCAAGGCCTTTGGACCGGCCCCAGGCCAGTCCTGCCGCCACCACTGTCGCCGCTGCCTGTCATTATGATATTGATTATTGTTATTATTACTTGTTCTTGGGGTTTTCTTGGTAAAATATCCACAGGGGTTTTGCCATGGCTTTTCTGGGGCTGAAAGAGTGTGCATGCATATTTTTTTTTAATTTTTTTAAAAAATTATTTATTTATTTTTGGTGCTTTGGCCCCTAATTGTCTGAGGGACAGCAACCCGGCCCCCGGCTCAAAAAGGTTGCCTACCCCTGCTGTAACACATAGGGCTGCTTTTGAAGAATATTCAGAAACTTTAACTGGTCCAGAAAGCTGCAACCCAATTACTAACTGTGGCTGGCTACAAAGAAAACACAACTCCCTTGTTGCATTAGCTCCACTGGCTGCTGGTCTGTTTCTGGGTACAATTAAAAGTGCTGGTTTTGACCTGTAAGATTGAGGTCCATGTTATCTGAAGGATCATATTCTGCCCCGCAAACCAGCATGTGCTTTGAGATCTGCTGGGGAGGTCCTTCTCTCTGTCCCACTGCCTTCACAGGTACATCTGGTGGAAATACAAAAGAGGACCTTCTCACTGGCAGCCCCCAGGCTCTGGAATTCCCTTCCCAGAAAAGCTAGACTAGCATTCTCCCTGTTTTCTTTTCACAGAGAAATAAAGTAATTTTCTGTTCTGGCAGGCATTTGATGAGTGATTGTATAAGGCCTAGCTCAGGGGTCCCCAAACTACGGCCCGCAGGCTGGACCCAGCCCACCGAGGCATTCCTACTGGCTGCCGCCGCCGCTCGCATCCACTGTCGGATGCCATTTTGTCTTCCAAAATGGTGTCCGGAGTCGTGCACATACCTCCGCCCCCCCGGAAGATCTGGGGGTGAGCAAACCAGAACCCCAGATCCAAAAGTCCGGGGACCCCTGGCCTAGCTCATCGAAACAATGTGCTGGATTTTGCTAATTTTCATGCCAGGCTGTGTTAGGATGCATATTTTAATCTGTTTTTAATTTTTTTGATGGTTTAAGTTCATTTTAAATTTTGAAAGTTGTGCATTTTTATTTACTTATTTTTTTAAAAAAATATTGTAAGCTGCTTAGATTCTCAAACTGTGAAAATGGCAGGATAGAAATAAATATAATAATAAATAAATAATAGAAAGCAGATTTTTATATCCCTATTTTGTGGCATTTTGATGGCATTGATAAAGATATGGCCATGACACATATTTTGGGATATGGCCCAATGAGGCCACTTTTTGTCATTTATTTATTTTTAAAGAAAAAAATCTTTTGGAAATTCTCTGTACATGTTCTCTCTTCCAGAGTGTATGTATTGAGCACCACCTGGTGGCTGGCATCTGTCCTAAGAGCCATCTTAGTTTCCAAGCAGCTAATGCTATAATTCAAAGTGAAAGGGTCATCCTTTGGAAATGTCTGACCTCCCATCTTAGACAACTGACATTGGCCCCTTTTATGAATATGGCTCAGCACTTCATAAATTCAATACCAAGCTATTAAAGAAATTAAACATGCAGGTCCTCTCAAACCCACTAATATGCTGAATCCCTTAAAACAGACTCACCACACACACACATACACTAATGTATTGCTGCTTTCAAGTCACAAGGTCTGTCAACAGAATGACAGCTCAGGAAAGCACATTTCATTGGACATAATATCTCCATAATTAGTACAAAACTATTGCAATCAAACCTTGGCTTTTATGGGTTTTTGTTTGTTTGCTTTTTGCAGGGGTTTCGGGCGATTTGCAAGGTCCATTGGCACAGCATGAGAGATACAGCCCCCACTGGCATCACTAGGGTCAGTGTCACCCTAGGGCAGAAAGTCATGTTGTCAGCCCCCAGGCAGGCAGCCACTTCTGGGGAGACAAAATGGGGAGGGCAGGGCACAGGAAAGCAGGTGAAGGAGTGACAGCAGGCAGATGCTCACTGTCCATCCTCCCTCTCCTGACCTCCTTGCTGCCCTTCCATCCTGCCCAAGCTGCCTGGCACACACCCCACATCTGCCATCTGCCCACTGGGGCCACTGCAACAGCCACTTTCCCCACCTCTTCTCCAACTACAACTGGCGCACCATGCCCACCACCTCCTGTTTTGGCTTCTCCATTGGCCTTGGGCTCTCTTGGCCAGTGGAGAAGAATGGACAGGTGGCGGTGGCTGCAGTGAGCCTCCAACCAGGTCACCACACTTTTGTCTCCTGTTTGGGTTTATCTGGAATCTTGGACACTCTTGGCTGAGGTCACGAGAGCCCAGGGTAGTGGGAAAAGCATTAAAAAATTACTGTCTTCTTGGCAGAGAACTATAATTAACTTCGAAAAGTCATTTCCTCTGATGAGTCCATGCTTATATTTAAAGGACCATTACATCACTCTGCCCTTGGTATGTGATGGTGATGGTGATGAGTGCCTTTATGTCGTTTCTGGCTTATAGCAACCTTAAGGCAACCCTATCATGGGGTTTTGGCAAGATTTGTTCAGAGGAGGCTTGCCATTGCCTTCCCTTGAGGTTGAGAGCATGGGACTTCTCCAAGGTAGCCCAGTAGGTTTCATGGCCAAGTGGGGGATTGAACCCTGGTCTCCAGAATCATAGTCCAACACTCAAACCACTGTGCCACATTACTGAAGTATTATTTTTGTGTCCTTCTGACAGTTGGACAAACACTTAAACCTGGGACTCTGGCCAGCAGAGACATTAGGATGATCTAACCCAGATAGTAATAATGTTTCTAGTACCAACTGATTTAAATGGCATATAAATTGAGACTTTTCCAGGGAAAGAACATTATTACATAGTTGGAGCAAGTTAAGGAGTCTGGCAGCATGTCTAATGTGTGTTTATATAAGCAGAAACATTCCTTTACCAATTTATGATTTTAAACTATAATAATATAAAAACATAATACCGGTAAATGTGCAGGTGTGATGACTGCCATTCCACACTGGATGTATCCACACTGCAGAAATAATCCAGTTTGATGGTGCTTTGATGGCCATAGCTCAATGCTATGGAATTCTGGAAAGTGTAATTTTGTCAGAGAACTTTGGTGCCACAACAAATTACAAATCCCAGGATTCCATAGCACTGAGCCATGGCAGTTAAAAGTGGCATCAAACTAGATTATTTCTGCAGTTCAGATGAAGCCAGTGTTAAAACACTATCTACTTGACCTCTTTGCCCTTTTATAAAAAGTCGTCTGAAGAAGCAAAGCTTACTTTTTCTTCCTCGGTTGTTTTCTCTGGACCTGTAATTCAGACTGTGAGGTTTGTATAGATTTTTTAATCCATTTAAAAATTTAGTTCATAATTGTTTTAAGTTTTAAAATTGTTTGTTTTTAAAATTTTATGTTTATATATTTTAGTGCTTCTGTATTGTTTGTAAATTGTATTGTTTTAAACCTGCTGTTTGCCTCCTATATTGAGAGAAAGGCAGGATATAAGTTAAATAAGAAGGAGAAGGAGAAGGAGGAGGAGGACAATGATGACAATGACAACAACAACAACAACATGTAGATGATGCCATTCTTCTGCACCTGACTAGAGAGATGTTTCTCTGATGCCCCCTGCAATACCGATCAGTAAATGACTGTGGAGGGAGGGCTCTACATGGTGGGTTTGGGAACAATTTTGTTCATTCTGAGCACCAGAACTGCAAAAAAAGTGACTTACAATGGTCTAGGTCAAATATATGTCAAGTCACTGATAGGATGTTAAGTCAGACTCTAACAAATGAGGAAAACACAGCCACACTCATGCATACTTTAAAACAGTACTCTCACCCTGAGATTCCTCCCCCTCATCTTACAGACCAGAGAAGGGGGGCTCCACTTTGAGACTCTGGGCCAGGCCTTGAGATTTGGAAAACCTATTTGTCCAAACCATTGTACACAACACACTGAAGTTCTAACTGATATCTTGAGTGTTTGAGGACACTGTGGGCAGAGCTTATCTGCCACCCTGTCTCCAGTGTTAGCTATAGGCATGTTCAGGAGACATGTGGTGATTTATAGTAGCTGTAAGTCACAAGAGGGTTAGAGTTGTAGTCATTGTGGCAAATAATAACTGCACTAACACAGGTGTGGCCCTTCCACCCCTATATCTTAGAGAGAAGGTTAAAGGGTTTTTGCTTGGCATCTGTCAATCTGTGTTTAACTAGTTTCGCAGAACTCATCGCTTTTGTCACCTGGGCTCCCATGTTTTCAAACAATGGTGTCATCCACTAGTCAGGCCAACCTTTGTATTCCCCTTCAGGATCCCTTAAGCTTCAGACTATGAGGATATTATTGCAGGAGAAGAGATCTGCTGCTTTATACTGTTTCACAAAGGCAGCATGGCAAGAAGGCATGCACACATAGCCAGTTGTTGCTGGCTACCATTATGATGGCTACTTGAAATTAATGGCTCTCTGCTTCCACTTTGTGCCAGTCCTTGGCTCTAAGGTTGTCGGTCCAAAACCTGAGATCTAGAGGTGGTTTCTGGTGATGTCATTAAGCATTATGCATTAAGTATGCATAAAGGAATGTGGTGGTTTAGTGCTTAAGACACCAATTCTGATGATCAGAAGATCAGAAGGTTGGCAGTTTGAGGCCCAGGTGCTGCATGATGGGGTGAGCTCCTGTCACTAGTCTGGCAACCTAGCAGTTTGAAAGCATACAGATGCAAGTAGATAAATAGGTACCACTTCAGAGGGAAGTTAACAGCATTCAGTAAAGTCATGCTGTCTACATGAGTAATGGAGATGAGCACCACCCCCTACAGTCAGTTATGGCTAGACATTCATGTCAAGGGACTACCTTTACCTTTATGCATACAGTAGGAGCCAGCGTGGTGTAGTGGTTTGAGCATTGGACTACAACTCTGGATACCAGGGTTCAAATCCCTGCTTGGCCATGGAAATGCACTGGGTGACCTTAAGAAAGTCACACTCTCTCAAATCTTGCCAAGAAACCCTCATGATAGGTTCATCTCACAACAGCAACAAACCAAACAATTGCTTAGAGCTTATCATTCAGACACAGAGAGAAAGTATGTGTATGTGTTTGGAATGTAAGACAGGGCCTCGGCAGACGGCTAATTGCGCCGTCTCCGAGGCCCGGAAGAGGAGGAGCCGCCGCACGTTCGGCGGCTCTTCCTCTTCCTGAAGGCGCACCCGGAAGCGCCGGCCATCCGCATGGCCGGCGACTTCCGGTTGCCCTCACGCCGCGGCGACCGCATTCGCCGCGGCGTTTGAGCCGCCGAAAGTGCGCCCGCCGCTGTTAGGGCGCACTTTCGGCAGAATCTAAAAGGATCGCCATTTTGGCGGTCCTTTTAGATTCGCCGGGGATGCGCCGCCGTCCGGAGGCTGAACTCCGGCGGCGGTCCGGACCAGGGCGTCTCCGACGCCCTCGTCTGCATCCCCACACAGAAATCCTAGCTAAAGGAACTGTTCCCAGATCATGGTAAAATGAGAGGATTATGCCTTCTCATATATTTAGGGAGAGGGAATAAAGAACATTTAATCTTGGCTATTTGTTTCTAGTCAGGCAGTGGAGACAGGGACAGGCCTGGCACTACGACTGGGAAGGAAAAATGTAGCTAACTAAATAAATACATAGACTCCTGGAACAAGTTAGAATCATAGGATCATAGAAGCATAGCACTGGAAGAGACTACAATGGTCATCCAGTCGAACCCCTTCCTGTTATGCAGGAATACACAATCAAAGCACTCCGGACAGATAGCCATCCTGCCTCTGTTTAAAATCCTACAAAGAAGGAGTTCCACCCCAATCAGAGGCACCATATTCCACTGTTGAACAGCTCTGACCATTAGGAAGTTCTTCCTAATGTTGAGGTGGAATCTCTTTTCCTGCAGTTTGAATCTACTGCTCTGTGTTCTACTCTCTGGAGCAGCATAAAACAAGTTTGCTCCATCTTCAATATGACATCCCTTCAAATATTCAAACATGGCTGTCATGTCATTGCTTAACCTTCTTTTCCCCAGGCTAAACATACTCAACTCCCTAAGGCTCATAGGGCATGGCTTTCAGACCCAAATTAATTAAGCCTTGCAAACTGTAGCAAGCTAATTTATTTTATTTTATTTTAGTTTAGTTTAGTTTAGTTTAGTTTAGTTTATTTTATTATATCCTGCCTTTCACCCAATATAGGGATTCAAGGTAGCGAACAAGTATAAAACAATACACTTTAAAAACAGTGCAATATTAAAATATATAAATATAAAAATTTAAAAACCAATTAAACTATTTTTAAAGTTAAAACAGTTATGAGTTAAAATAGAGTATGTTTAAAATACAAACCTTAAAATTTCATTAGGACAACATTCCCAGCCCTTATCAGTTTGGAAAGGCTTGACATTTATCTGCCATTGGAAAGACAGCAGGGATAGAGCCATCCTGGCCTCTCTAGGGAAGGAGTTCCAGAGTTGGGAGCAGCCACTGAGAAGGCCCTCTCTCTTGTTCCCACCAAACGTACTTGAGAGGATGGTGAGACAGAGAGAAGGGCCTCTCCCGATGATCTTAGTGCTCTGGGGGGCTCATACAGGCAGATATGGTCCTTCAAATAGCCTGAACCTAAGCTTCAAATAGCCTGGACCCAAGCTGATGTTCTGCTAGGTGAACTGGAGATTGGCACACAGCCCTTTCCTCTTGTCTGGAGCTGAGGAAGGAGTAGTTCATATGTTCAAAAATATTAAAGAACTTCACTGAGAAACAGACAAATTATAATGGTTTCAAGAGCTGCAACAACTAGTAGAAATGTAAACAGATACAAAACTGTTGTAGGACAGGATTGTACTGGATGAAAAAGATGACAAGAAGTTCTAGTCTTTAAACACCCGTGGAAATGTGTGTTATGTAAAGTATTCACAGCTGTTCCAATGCTGACTTCACTATAAATATCTGAATGGCCAAAGTATCAAAACCTTGAGCATCATAAGACTAGATGTATGACAACACTGAAAAGCTTGTAATTTTCCTGATCGTTCAGATTTCCCTGTTATCAATTGAAACTATTTTTATTTTATTTTACTTTTTGGAAGGGCTCATGGAGCCAGTCAGCTTTAGCTCATTATGACTAAAGCTAGTTGCCAGTTTGTCAGAGGAAATTACAGTTTGGAGTGAACTGGTGTGTGATGAGCAAGGAGGCCAGAAAACAGGCAGTCATCTTTTCATCAAGCGCCATATGATCTGAAAAATGCCTTTTTATATTAACTAATTAGGTGTCTCTGAAACTCATTACAGCCCATGAAGTCTTTGAACACACCCGGTGCCATGTTGCTTGTGTCAGAAGGTCCAGCCTTTTATGCTTTTGCCATAACTTCAATGAAGCCCATTCCCATTGAGTTCATATCCAGCCTATGGAGAGAGGAAAATAATTCAGAAAATAATTCAGAAAAGATGTGCTTTCCTACACCACCACTTAAGCTCACTTGTTCACAGTAAAGTAGTAAAAGTAAAAGCTACTTTCCTCACTGAAGTAGCAAGAAATGGCAGAAGTACAGGTTTTCCTGAGAAACCGTAAGAATTTTACACTTCCACTTTCCTCAACTGTCCTGTTAGAGTGGGGTTGGGAAATTATATAGTCCTCCAGATGTTGCTGAACTGCAACTCCCAGCATTCCTTACA